CTAAAATTAATAAATTGGTAAACCTTGCAGAAAATTAAAATTATATAATTACTTCAATCCATAGTACTTCATCCATATACTGACCGCAGAGAAATTGCAATGACCAAGATGATATAATTTAGTATTTTATACTTCTGATTCTATTACATTCTGAACTAAACCTACAGTCTGTAGATGTAGCAAGTAGATAGATGGAAGATATACTGACAGAGGTTCAGATGTGTAGTAGTTGTTGAAGTAAACTGAGGTTTACATATTTTGGGATATTTCTGGTAAGTCTCAATCTAACACATTTGAATTTGCTCCCATATCTGGTTCAATTGGGATGTGAAAAGTATGATCATTTCTGATCTGTTGTAGATATCAAATCCTGGTTCAGAAGAAGATGAAACATAACCCTATTTATTTGTTTTTTTTTTGTATTGTTGCAGATGGTATGTAATATACGTTTTTGAAACCTTTTGTTCATCAATAATTGACATTCTTCCATGTGAATGAATGCAAATATTTGCAGTAAGGAATCCATTACAGGTCTGATTATGACCTTCTTATATAGCTTTGTAGCTCTTTCTCATTATCATTGATGCTTTTTTTAATTTACTTTAAAGTGTTGTGTGCCATTGAATTCATAACAAGTTAATTGTCAATAATATAACTCCAGAAACTCTGATAATATTAGGTGTACTACGAGAAAGATACTCAATATACTCCTGATTATCACATTTTCTTTTGTAGAACTTCATATGGGTTTTTTTGAAATGTGTAGGGGATAATTTTAACTACAATTCTCTGAATCAACTTGTTTAAAAAAAGTTTCTGCTGAACTTTTCTCCATTTGCATTGCTGAAAATAAAAACGGTAAGTAACCCTTTCAGCTTACTTTCAGCTGAAAGTTAATACTGATATTTGCAGGACAATATAGAGAAACTCATAAAATATAATACAGAGTTCAGTAAAGTTTGCCTGTTAAAAGTTATAATGAAATTCATGAAAATACAATATCTTGAGTCTAATATTTAAAGATCTGTACCTGTATCTCGTCATATACCTAAATACAGCACTAGGGACAAAAAACAACAATAGGTTGCTCAATCCCCAAAAAACAATTAGTGGCAATTCACAGAAAATAAAACTATTCTCTCAATTCATTAGTGAACTATACCCTCAATATTTAATATACTAAGGTAATGATACTCTTTTGTAGCATTGATAACACAACACAAAACCCCTTGCTACAGCTATATAGCAAGTTCTCCTTCATGGGTGCCCCAAGAAGATTATAAATGGAATTTGAAAGTTTGTAGATCATAATAAAAGGAAAACAGGTACACATGCAACCCACATCTTCAATAACTCATAACTGATACATCCTAATCTCTTTAAGTTTTCACATTCTAAATGGAGTTTGGGTAACATTACTAATCTGAAATAAACAAAAGGAGACTCCAGGTTGTTCTTTTGGAAGGTGCTACTACTCTGTAGCGCAGGTTGTCAAATTTGGGTTCCAATATGAAACTTGTATCATAATTAAAACAATGATTTAAGTGCAACATTTTGGTAAATTCATTATTTTGTTTTTCTTTCTTTTTTGTGATAACGGGATGTTTGGGGCCCTTTTTTAAAACTTTTGCACAAGTGGCTCATTACAGGAATTTTAAATATGACATTTAATTATTCATATTGTAATATACACTGGATAATTGACTATCAATAAAATATAACAAATAATAAAACTCTTGTAAAGCAATATAAAAATAAGATTTTGGATGGGTTATAACTGAGTAAGAATTCTGAGACACAGAAACAGGAGATATGCTGAGAATAGCGTTCAAACACTGTTTTAAAAAAAGTATATAAAACATCAGTTTTTTCCTAAGTTTTGCGAAAACACAAAAGACATTCTTTTACTTACATTTTTATTATAACTGGTCAACAGAGGCCATGCATTTGGAATCTAATTGGTTATTTTCTGTGCAGGCATAAATGAAAAAGTAATGTAATAAGTCAAAAATTTTCCTTTTTTGCTCAGGTCACTATTAAAAAATCTAAACTGTTGAAACATTTTCAATTCTATCACTTTTGATCATTTAAAGATACAATAGCAAACACTGAACAATTCAGGGGGAGGGGGGTATGTCCCCTCCAGAAGGCTTAGTTTTTGTTTGTTACCTTCCCTTATTTCGCAAAAGTGATTTAAACATGTTGGATTTATGTAACTATTTAAAAACTAGTATTATATAGTATCATGTATAACTACATAAATAATTTACAATGTAATAACGAATATGTTCATTATTTAACAAAATACCCCCACTTCCCAATGATCGGATGAATCAGGCCAATAGCAAATAACTAATTTTAAAGGTTTAATTCTCTGCAACTTCAGAGGGAGTATATTGCTATATAATTAAGGGCTTAGTTGCCTTTTAGGTAAAGTTTATCAAAAAAGCATGAGCTGATAAGTGTTTTTTTAATTTGATTTTTGCCAGAAACCAGATTGTCAATAGAAGAATGGATAGAAACCATCTCTTATTAAATTTTGTTAGTTTTCATATTTAAAATATATATTTGACTACATTGCAGTTTCACTTCACAGCTGTGTTTGAAGTAGTAAATATGTAAAAGTATTGCCATGTTAGTCATACAAGAAAGCTCTTACAAATTCCATGTTTTAAAGGTTATCTAGTAAGTTATTTTACCTGTTATCTACGTAAAAAACTATAATTGGTATTTTTTGCCACGTCATCCAATAGACAAAAAAACAGGATGAAACAAGATACAGATCATTTTGGCATCCCAACAAATTTTTTCGAGACTAGACTATAGTCTATTTTTCGAAATGCTACTTACTCTATCTTTGAAACAAATTCATTTGTGGAGATTATGTGGGTAAGGGGATTAAAGAATAAGCTTTAATAAATGGAGAAAGAGAAAGGATCACTGCAGAGCATCTAATTATTTTGCGAACATGTAAAACTTGATAAAATAGAACAAGAAAAATACATAGTATAATACAAATCTTATAGGGGGAGTCTTTATGTTTAAAGAAATTATACACACCTCTATTTATATATTATGTATTTACAATATTTACTTATTACAGCTTCATTAAAAATAATACCAAATAGAAAAGAAAAAAAATTGTTCAGAAAGCATAATTCAAGATGACAATCTCAATTTCTTCCTTTCTAGATATTCTTGAACATTATCAAATTTTCTTTTATATAACACACACACACGTTCTGATATCGCAGTTTGTGTAAAACATTCATTATGAGAGTTGACTAAACTCACTATATCAGACACTTTTCCTGATTGTTCACTATCTGACATTTTCCCACTTGTGTCAAAGTAAACAAAGTTTAATGGATTTTTTTCATTACATGATAAATACCATAAAATACCCTCAGCAGAAAGATTTATGTCCCATGGCTCAGTTTGGAAGACAACTTGCTGCATCATCGAATATGAAATATTACTTTGGTCTCCAATAACTTTGTAAAGTAAGCATCCTTTGAAATGTACAAGACTCACTCCAACTAATGATGAAGTATTATATTTGCAACAACTAATATGCATCACAGCTGAAGTCATTTCACCAGTGATACTCAAATTATCTTCAGAACACATCTTGTTGTCAGAAATAAATACAGCTTTTGTGTTTCCACTGGACTCGCTCTCTTTTGCATTTTGAAGTGGGCAAACGAGGTCACTAATTAATATGCCTGATTCATAATTCCAGAATTTTACAGAGCCATCACCAGACCCCGACACTAACACAGATTTGTTATGTGGTAAAAATGATAAACATGAAACAAATTCTGTGTGACCTAAACAATACGACTGAATATTGTATGCATTTGGAAAATGCGACACTCTTATTTTCTCATCGCGATCACACGTAATAATATACCTTTCATCATCAGACATGAGCACATCTAAAAGCATTGACAGATGTCCTAGAAGTAAAACTCCTTCCTTATTGGGCTCCATTACAGAGAATAAATATACATCACCCGACTTGTCAGCTACTGTTACATTGTCACTGCTAGGGGAAAATTTAATTTTATCAGCAGCTCTAACAAGACTTCTACTGCTTACAAATGTCCAATGAATTGTATCCCACAAGCATAACTGTTTATCACTTGAACTTACAGCCAGCCACCTATTACATCGTGAAACATCCAGTCCCATTATGTAGGCGTTCAAGGGCTTTGATTCAATTGTTCCACTTTCTTTTTGCCCATTTTTTGTTTCACTTTGGGGAGAGCTTGGTAGTTCCAACACGTGCAATTTCGGTTCTTTCATATATACCGCCAAAACTCGTGTTTCACACGTAACAGCAATACAACTGCCATTAATAGCAATTGTAGCCATTTTAGATATTATCAGACATCAAGAAGTTACAAACAAGAATCACATAAACTCATAAACACGCGCAATTATGATGAAGTATTCCATCCACAATCGTCCACAACACTGCAGTAATTAAGTCAGTAAACCAGTAAGAAACCCAGACCACCACATGATCAGGATGAACATAATATTCTCTGGATCAAAGAGTATGTGTCTGCTCTGGATCAGAATGTGATGAGCGCAGCCAGCGCCCTCTGGAATACTGTTTCTCTTCTCCCAGAGGACGCTGGCAGAGTGAAAGAAATTGAAAGTAAAGCAAAGTCGCTCCTTCCATATACTACCATATAAGTTTTTTTTGTAGTCTATAAGTAGATTTCATACATATTGTCCATAGAATATAACTGGTGTTGCCCATATAGAATTTATAGAATTACAGGTTGTTTCAATGCTTCTCTTTTCAGTGGCGAAGTTAAGGACGGTGATCATGTTAAGACCTCTACACACGGGCCAATTTGTTGGTCCGTCTGCCGGGACAACGAAATTGGACTCGGCTACACACTGTCCGATCAACGACCCGATTGCTTCGAAAATTTTGAGAAGGCTGTGAGCAAGACAGTGATTCCCGACCTCGAAAATCAGACCAAAATTAAATAAAAAATCTATTTAGAGATGTTTATGTTCACAATAGTTTACCCATATAGTCATAGAGTTAAGATGCAGGTGAGGAACTCATATTTTGTATTAATCTTCAGCACCCAGTTAGAAAGCTAACACGTGTAACCGTGTTCTATTACGGCCGCGAAATCATACCATCAGGTTGTTAACATTTTTGAGAAAGTTTTTGGAAAACTATAACACTAGTTAAAATAAAAGATTTAGTCCAAGGGAATGCTGAATATAATGTTAATTTCTGAAGTGAAACAAATGTATGAGCAATTCTTTTAAAAAAAAAACGTGTTATAGTATGTTCAATTTTCTTGTACGTATTACCTTTCAAAATCACATATGTAAGTTGTTGGCACGTGTTTGAATAAAGAAAACTTTAAGCTATTTAATAATGAATTTCTCATGACATTGTATGTAATTTCTATAATTTATAAATAAAAACAATTCCTCTGCGTGAAGTTGCTTTCATTCTCATAATTATTGTCAAAATTCGCTTACTTTGCGCATCAAATTTGGTCAGTAATTTCATTTCTTTAAATTTTCGACTTCATATTCGTAATCAGTGACCTAAAATAACAAGAACCAAAGAACTTTCTAATTAAATAACTGTTTTACACTTGAACCGGCGTTTTGAGGTCTGAGATCACTGTATGTCGGCCCAACACTTCTATACTAAAAGACAGTTCACAATTTGTCTGGCAGTGTGGCGGGGGAATCGGTGGTTATGTGGTCAGGACTAAGCAACCGCCCGACGGGCTGGCTTTCGCCCGCGCGACTTGGCTTTCGCCCGCAGGATACAGCCGCGCTCATCTGCCTTACCGAAGGCCCTTACGCCAGCGCTCGCGCTGCTACAAGTACACGTGTACTGCATCTGAAAAAGAGCATTATAAAAAAGAGCAAAAACTGCAGTGCAGTGCATGGTGTACGTGAGCATGCACGCTCGGCCGCGTGTGCCATGAAAATCCAGGGGAAGCAGCCACAACAGCGGCCGAGCATCTCTAGCCATCTGCCCGTCCGGATAGCGTCATCGTGCACGTCAGGAAGCCCGTCCACTACCCGAAAGTATATAGATGCCTCCGCCAGCAGCAGCAACTTCTCCTCAAAAACATGCGGAGGTAAGGGCGGGAACGTAGCCTCTAGTAGAGCCTCTCTCTCTTCCAACCCCGAGCAATCAAACCCCAACCTAATAAAAGACAATGACCCCACTAACGACAACGACGTAAACATTGACGAGCTCAACAGAGCAATTCAATCAATAGCTGACCCTGACCTGTCAAACTCACTTAACAACCCAAGAACTTCGCTCACAAGCATCTCACGCATCACAGGGAAAAATAGAACATCAAAAACCGACGCAGACGGCTTTATCACGCCGACACTCTTCTTTAGAGCAGGCGAAATCAATAACAAATCTACCGTAGGCTTAACCTTACGAAACTCCTTCGAAACTGGCTACTCCTTCGGCTACTGCCGACATAACTTCCAAAAGTGACCCCCACATTGACGGCCTCACAGCCGAGGAGACTGAACCGCCGACGGGAAACTGTCTGCGCGCACTACCACCTGTAGCGGAGCGCCCAAAACTGCCCCACACGTTACCTCTACGCACCCGCCACAACGGCACCATAGGGTGCATATATGTAGATATGGCTTCATGCCAATACACGGGAAAGCTCCTTAAACACCTAGCAAAGCAAACCACTCACAAGCTCCAAACAACCATCGACTTACCGAACTTCGTAATCAGATGCCAATCGGTCTCTGACCACGAAGCAGTAATCGCAGAGCTAAAACGCCTCCGATCGAACATAAACAACGGAGGCGCCGCATTCTTCTACCATAGAGCGACAGAAAAGAAACGGAAAAGATTCATTATTCGCGGTCTCTCAAAAACAATGGACCTAGACGAAATACCTGACGAACTCACGAAAAAAACATTACTGTCTTCCACCTAGACGAGCTTAAGCGCAAAGTCGGGGAAAGAGCTTTGACAAATGGTAAATGGGAAAAGGTACTGGAGCCTCTAGACCTTTATTCCATAGAAATCAACCACAGAGACATCGGAGCTCTTAAGGCACTGAGGTCACTGTGCTATCACGCTTTCTCGTTCGAAGAACCGCGGACGCGCCATTTCGTAACCTAATGCGGGCGCTGCCTGGCCTTCGGCCATACCAACAAAGGCTGTTATATGTCAGCCAAGTGCATGGCGTGCGCTGGCGACCACTTCGCCTCAGAATGCCCCTCAAAACCAAACACGAGGTTCCTCTGCTTCAATTGCAAGGGAAACCACGCCGAGAACAACCGCGACTGCCCTGCATACGTGCAGGCCGCATCACTGTGCAGCGAGCAACTCAACCGCTCCCGCGAACGGCTCGCCAAGCAGCAACTGCTGCGCGCTGGCGACACCCAAGCCGTCCCCGGCGCTACTGAGTTCCCGGAGCTCAGGAAGCGTGAAACCCTCGCGAGCACGTTTTTTCAGTTTTCCCTCCTCCAGTTACCCTAGAGAGGCAGGAATGTATTTGTCTTTGGGGTACATTTTGTATAACTGCAGCCGATTTAGCTTGTGCAGTTAGGGAAGGCTTTCTTGCTTACAAACAAAAACTATCTTATAACTATAACTATATACATTACCACTTGGGGGTTTGTTAGTTTCTAGACATTTTTTTAAAATTTTTAATTGGGAGATCTTGAAATTGTTGTTTTCTTCTTTTAATTTTTTTCTCTCACTTGCATTCACACTTATAATAATTATATTTACAAACGCATCCATTCATTCATTCATTCATTCATACACACACACAACACTTCACATCACTATTGTAACGTTTCTCTGTGGTGAATTAAAACTCACACAATATTTTAAACAAAAACGTTTATTCGTAAACACTAAACACTAATACACTAAAATCTACTTGGTCTATTTACAGATATATTACACTTAATTATTTTTCTTTACACACGACTCCGTTCTCTTGATTATTTATTTACACAGTTCACTTCTTACACACTATTTATTTACACTGTTCTCCTCTTCTACAGTATCACCCAGTCCAATGCACTGTCCACGGTCCACTGCATTTGACCCTAATTCTCTGCGCAGTCCACAATTCCCTGCGCAGAGCACAATTCCCTGCGCAGACCACAATTACCTGCACAGACCACACTTCACTGCGCACACCAGGGTCCACTGCACTGATGTTTACCGCGATGCACACTTCACAGCTCAGCTTCCACTGCAGACGTCAAACCGCAGACTGCTGTTCACCCACTGCACTACTGTTCCACATAATGCATATGTTCATCGTGAAGACCATCTTCGATCGAAGAGAAACGAGAATTCTATATTAATGACGACGTTAATGATATTCTCCTGACAAGGCTCCAAAACATTTCAGTCAATGCAGTTCCTTCTGATTTCTCACAAACTGACGTTCTTTCATCTTATTAACATCAGACCTTTTGAAGTTTGGTTAAAACAAACAAAACCAAGCCACAAGTTATCAAGCTTAGTTAACGTTGGACAAGTTTAGAATTTTCAACTTCAAAAAAAATTGTAAGAAAGGTCAGTGTAAAAGTATAATATTTGAAAAAACGAATGACCGCCAATCTTTTCATAACGAAAAAGACTTGCAGATACAAGGATTAGAAGCTTTTGTCTCCGTTTTAGAAATTGGAGAGACGGAATTTAAAAGGATTCCTACAGAATTTTCAAATGAAAGAAAGGTGCTTCCGCGTCGAAGTACTACGAACACATTTATAGAATCCTGTTCAGTTGTTTTCCTTCCATCTAGTTATGGAGGATTCCTCAGCGCAAGCGATCAAACGCCTCTTCAAAATCTTGGAGACGCGTTGCGGCTCTATAGACAGTAACAAATTAAAACTAGTGGGTGCTGGTAAATCGCATACTTTCCTCGCATTTTTCTAAAAGGCTCCGCTACATTAACACTACTACATATCGCCTCGCAAAAGTGTTGTCGAGCCAGCCTAATAATTTCCTTGGCTCCGGGACTCGCACTCAGAGTTAAAGTGCCGGCGCTCATTACCATAACCCCACACAAGCGCCACCAATGGATCGAACTTCCGGACAAAGGTATTCAAACGGTCAGCTGAACGGTTTAGGGGCGCTAGCAGACCACAGACCGACGTTTTGCCAACTGATTTTTTCGGTATGAAGAACTTACAAAAACAGGGGGATTTGCTGACCACCACGAGTTTTTTCCTAAACTTAGCTGAGGATTTTATTTCACTATTTCATTACCAGAAACCAGCAATAAGGTTTATTCGGC